TGATGTATCGTAACCGAAAACTAGAATACATCTGGCAACACAGTTTTTCTGCTTGCGTTTTGCCATGTCTCGTTCGTCTTTCCAGTTCTGTCAACGAGGCTCGCCCTCTTTCTTTTCCGTTCGGATGCCGTGACTTGCACATGTGGCCGTGTCCCGTGATTTAATGATTTTCACTTAATTTGTAATAAATTCATACTTGAAACTTTAATTCAATTATAAAAAATACATACATACTTTGTTGTGCGCAAAGTTACAATAGTGAAGAAATAAATTGTTTTTTTTTTGCTTAATATTGCCTCTCTGGATTTTTATATGCGGTTTTTTAGAATTTTTTGCATGAAGTGTCTGAAGTTATGCGGCTTTTGAAAATGCTGGAACGCATCCCCTGTTTTTGTATGAAAGTAAAGAACTTTTTTATGCGGATTTTTTTAAGTGTAATACACTTTTTAAAACCTGTGCTATATATACATACATATTATATACCCAATAATTTAAAGAACTCAAAGAGTTTTTGAATTGCTGTCCTTTTATCAAAACAATTTTAAACGTGGTGTGGCGTTCTTATGCATATGAATGTATGTATACATACCGTGACGAACAAAAGTATTGGCACAGTGCTTTTTTCGCAATATATGCAAATTTTTCATTCTTATTTATTTGCGATAATTTTTTGTAAAAATATAGTTCATGCTCCACCAAAAAACATAAAAATCAAATCATCAAACTTTGTGCAAAACTCAGGAAAATTCAATAAATTTGCATACTAATTTGCAACTTTTTATTCAGTTTTTTTAGGAAAATTCTAAGAATGCAGTTTTATAGCCCATTAAATTTTAGTGCAAGTTTGAAGTTCCTAGAAAATTGCGTTGATTTTTGGCAATTTTTTTAGTGGAAGGTGTTGCTCATTTTCTCCATACAAAAAATGATTCTGTGGTCACAAGCAATAACCGCCTAAGTCGACTTAAGAAAGAATGGAGTTATATATGCTATCGTATTCTTCAACCACTATTCCATGCGTATGTGAAATCGCCATCTCGCCAGCTAGGCTACTTAAAAAGTAATAGGCGAAAATATGTTGGTTTTCCCATAAGGCTAACATTGCAATCCAAATGTTTAAAACCTTTTTTTTACCGAATTCAGATTTTTCAACTTAGGCGGCTATTGCTTATGATCACAGAATTGTCGAACATAAGTATATACTTTGAATGGAAGACCCTGCGTAAAAAAATTGCCAAAAATCAACGTGATTTTCAAGCAACCTCAAACTTGGACTTTCTATACTAAAATCGATTGGGCTATAAAACTGCATCCTTAGAGTTTTCTAAAAAATCTGAATAAAAAGTTGCAAATTTATTGAATTTTCCTGAGTTTTGTACAAAGTTTGGAGATTTGGTTTTTACGTTTTATGGTGGAATAAAGTAAATAAGAATAAAAAACTTTGCATATATTGCGAAAAATTCACTGTTCCAATTCTTTTGTTCGTCATCGTATGATTTGTCTGCTGATATAATTTTAATTATCAATAAAAAATTAAAGTATACGCATTTTTGTCGGACAAGGACTTCTAGGGATATGTTGAAATAAAATAATGGACTCGATATGGGTAAGGTTTAGTCTGAGTACTGGCTGATCAAGTGATGTTTAATGAGTATGTATAGTTATTTCATTTTAATAGATGCAAAATGAGATCTTAAATTTGTTTAAATTTTGCTCTCATAGTATGTTAAATTTATTTAAAAATAAATGTATGAAAATATCATAGAAATCAAGCCACTGCTGGCATGGAAAATCTGTATACTAATACACACCTTGACTTTCCGAATGAGGGTCACGCAAGCGCCCAACTTTTCGGCGCACTTTTGTGTACTCCGGTTCCTTCGACTATAAAATCAATTCGACATTGTAGCATTAAATTCTTGAATAAAATTTTAAAATATTATTACTCACATGATAGTTTTCCGGCTTCACGTCGTGGTATACAAATGAGCCTCGTACTGAGTGATACGGCCCACTGTACACATTACCGCTATATGAGCTTTCACTATATGTCTGTTTATTCAGCTGGAATGTAGCATATGGACAAATATCTTCTATGTATTCATTACCTTCAGCCTTGCCAAAACTGCCAGAGTCATTAGAATGAGACCCTCGGGGTGGGCCACCACCAGGATTACAACGCACGGCCAAATACTGTTGATCACGATTTTGTTTATTCTGCAAATTGGCCAGAGACGGGGACTCCGACATTGAGGAAGAGGCCAATCTCGCTTGATTGTCAATTTCTGAAAATATAAAAATAAATAATCAGAAATATCCTTGGAGCCAGTAAAACTTTCCAATATTCCCATCAAGTCTTTCAGCAAATTCTTTATAGTATGTAGTGTGGGAATAATGCATTGGTTTGGGTGACATAACACAAACGGTAGTAATGCAATGGGCTCGAGCCTTTGAAGCATCGTATATACTTACAAGCATGATACAAAAAAGAAGGTAGTTTCAATAAACAACTTTTTGATTAAAAAGCAGATTTTTGACAATTGCTCAATTGTGAAAAATTGGGAGCGGCGTTACCCAATTGTAAGTTTTTTGGTGTGGGAGATTTTATATCCTAAATTTGGGATTATAAATGAAATAGTTGTATTAATATTTACCTTTCAAAAATAATTAATATCTTATCTTAAAAACGTTTAAATTTTAAATTAAATTCGATAACAACTTGCCAAATCATTATTTTAATATTAGTACAATTTTAGTGAACATATTTTAAAATTTTTTTAGTGTCCTCATGTCATCTGATTATTTCACAATGTAGTTTTCTATATCGGATACGATGATTCTGATATGATTCTGACACTGAAATTACGCATTTCGATGTGTTATTAATACATATTGTCTTTGTCCATTTAACAGCAAATGGAATTTACTTTGGGACCTATGGGCCGTGAAATTTTTCCAGCAACACATATTGTTTTCACATGAAATTTTGACACACCCAAAAGCGAAGTATAAAATAAATAGATGAAAACAAATTTTCGATCAAACTGATTTGTGTAGTTCAGGGGCATCTTTAGTAAATGTTTTGGGGGCTGTTTTAATATATACTATCTTATTATATATTTCTTAGCTTTTCTACATTCTGAGAAGTTGAGAAAATGAAGCTAATATTCTTTTTTGGTCAACTACTATGTTTGATTTCATTTTTTTGTAATCATTAGTTCATTTCGCTTGAGGAGTCACAATGCCCATACCGGCTGTACCGATTTTTTTTAAATTTCGGACACAAATTTTCCAAGAATGGTTATAGGCTAAAATAAAACCGATATCTAAAGGGGGTGTGGAACCTCCCATACAAATCGAATTTTTCATAGTGCATATCTCTGAAAGTGTTTATGGTAGAGTCCTGGAACTTGGTATGGATATATGTCAATCTCAAGCTCATGGAAAAATATGGGTTATTGGAAAATGCAGCATGCCACCGTAGAACTGGAATAGAGGTAAAGGAAATCAATCCCAAATCTATGAAAAATGGGGGTATATGAAAACGATCTCGTATCCAGCTACGAGAGCTAGCGGTATAAGCCATATAAACTAAAATTCTGGTGACGCAGAAAGAGATGAAGATGAGAGATGAGAAAAACGGGCGCGACACCTTCTGGAAAGTAACATGATCACGTGTATTTAAAAATGTCATGAAAATTGTGTTGCTAGCTTCATGTTGCAAGCTTTTTCACAGCGTGAACAGAATATTACTTTGCCGAG